CCAAAAAAGAAGGGTACGATCTGCGCGTGTCTCTCTTGCGTAGCAGGAGTGCACTGGACTTGTGATTGTTCGACTTGCTTGCTAAGAACCTTGATCCTGGTGGCTAGAGATCAAAAAGGTTTAGAGCCTGATAATGCTTTGCAGACAGTGGGGAAGGAGCGGAACTGCCTTCGCTGCCTTCTGTTTTGCCCGCCGAAAGGCAACAAGGGCTTTGGCAAGGGAAAGGACAGGGAGAAAGAAGTGGCAGGAAAGCCAAATCCAAAACGGCCTCTTGTGAGGCGTCGCGTGAATGCGGATGACAGCGTATCGGAGAAGAAATTGAAGCGTTCCTTGTGTGATGCCTTTCAGAAGCACAAATGCAAGTTCTCGGCTGAGGATTGCAGATTCGCTCATCGCTGCCAGCTTTGTTGGAAAGATGATCATGGTGCTGAATTTTGTCCTGGAAAGCAGCAGTGACTATCTGGTGATGAGACTGCTTCCTCTTCTGGTGAGTTGCTTTGTGTTAGTGCCGAAGTTGTGAATGAATCCACGGAGTCAGCTCTTTTGCTGGCTGGTTCTCTTGAGTCTTCGGCTATTGATGTGGGGCATTTCAAGAGTGGTAGTTCATCTTTGCCGGCTTGTTATCCACAGAGAAACACTGGTGTCATCTTGCACCCGCCTGTTCCTATTGTTGATGGTGGGGGCTGCTTGTCTACTGCGGATTGGAGTTTACCCCGCGAAAGGGTGGATCATTTCTCTGCCTTGAGAAAGAGGTTTGGTCAGCTTGCGTCGGAGTGGGGCCTTCTGCAGAGGCTGAGTACTCATGTTGATGGTGCTTGTGAAGAATCTCTTTTCATATCAGAGGAGGTCGCGATGTTGAGACAAGAGGTTTTATCGTTTCTCTCCAGCAAGGGTTTTGGCTGCGACGGCAGCGTTGCCGAACATCAGCCTTTTCTATTACATGTTTGGCAAGCGCTGGGTACCTTGACGTCAGATCAGGATGTTGAACTTCCTAGTCTTCTGCTGGAAGGTGTTTCTACTGGAATTGCGCAGCCAATCCTGCCTTCAGGTGTGTGGGAGAAGAAGGCGGAGCCTGTCGCTGTTGAGCAGGATCTGCGTGTGCGTCTGGAGCCATGGCGCAGTGCTTCTGATAATTTGCCTTTGGCAAAACAATTAGTCATGGAGGATGTTGTTGCCGGGCATGCGTTTGTTATTCATGGAGGTGAAGCTGAAGCTCGTGAGAGATGGGGAGATCGTGTTGCTGCAGGCAAGTTAGGTGTGGTTCAGTTGCCTGGCAAAAAGCCGCGATTTGTTGGGGATGGGTCCATCAGTGGTGCCAACGCAGCCAGCTAAGTGCTAGAGAAGGAACGCCTTCCCTCATTGAACGCGGTGCACCGCTTCTTGTCGTGTGTTGACACCGCCGTGAGCTGGTGCCTCTGCAGTTTTGACGTGAAGGGCGCGCGCAAGTTGGTGCGTGTGGGAAGTGATGAGCAGGGAGATTCTTGCTTTGTATTTGATGGTGTGTGGTATTCGTATCGAAGTTGCCATTTTGGCTGTAAACGGGCTGCATATTGGTTCAGCCGAGTGGGTGCTTGGTTGGTTCGGATGCTTCATCGAGTCATTTGGGTGAAGCATGGATTGTTTCTTTTTGTGGACGATGGGCTGGAGTTCTTGCCTACTGCTGTGGGGCCACTCCTGGCGCTTTATTCTCTAATGTTTGTATGCGGTGTTGGTGTGCCTGTGAGCTGGGGCAAGCTGCACATTGGTCAGTGCCTGATTTGGATTGCTTGGAAGTTCCACGCGAATACCTGCCAAGCTAGTTTGCCAGCAAACAAGGTGGAAAAGGCTCTTGAGGCCCTGCGTCCTTTGCTTCACAAAAGCAAGGTGGAACGCCGGCAGGTCGAGAAGGTTGTGGGATTTCTTGGTTGGTTTTGCGGCGGAGCTTTCTGGCTTCGGGCCTGGCTGGCGGCCCTTTACAAGTTGTTGTGCAAACCGCAGGCTGGGACTAGATTGCTTCTTGTAGATGATTACTTCTCGCTGGTTCAGGTACTAGGCCATGATTTGAGAACTATGCGGTCTTTGCCTTTTTGCGACATTTGCACTGGTTGGAGACTGCACTCAGTGAACAATGAGGTGATCGCTTCCTTATAATCAGTCGCTCTCGTTTCTCCGCGCATTCGGCGTGCGTGCCTTAGTGCGGTATTGTACAACTATGGTTGCTCGATATGTCTGGTTGATCGGCAATCAATGAAGGTGGCTACTTTATTTTTACAATGCCATCTCTATGAATACATTTATTCCGATCCAATTTGCTCCTCAATCATCGGGCGTTAGCTGCAGCCGATGCTTGGGCAGTTGCGGAGCATGCTGGCCTGGGAGGATGGTGGTTGCCAGATGGCGCTCCAGTAGACGCGGCGGAGATTCATTGGTTCAGCGTTCAACTGACCAGGAAGTCGCTGCCTTCCTGGTTTCGCGCGGATGGCAATTCTTCGCTTCAAGCCTGTGTTGCGGCCTTAGAAGCGCTTGCGCAATTGATTCTTCTTGTGCTGCGTCGTAGGCAGGCTCAATTCGTGTATTCTTTAGGGGCGGTTCAGTTTCGTCAGCTCTGCGACACTGCTGGGGTTACTGCTGCCTCGGTAAAGTCCATGAGTCAAAAGGAGCTTTTGTCTTTTGTTTTTCAGGCGCTGGGATAGTATTGCTGCAGGTGGAATCTTACACTTCATTGCTCGCATTTGCTGGTGAGCGAAATATCTGGGCGAATCGCCTCAGCCGGGCTGAGATACCAATTGGTGTGGATCTGCGCAAGCGTTGCTTCGTGGACACTATGGAAATACTGCAATTGTCTTGGGCGTGAGCGGAGTCAGATCTATTATTCAGGTGTCTGAACCCGTTGGTTGGAGAGCTTGTCCCACCTGAAATTGGGAGAAGCGATTGGGCTGCGGCCCTTCTTTGCGCGCAAGCTCATTAAAAAGGCGTACAATGTATGCCTGCGTATAACCATACACTCGCCACTGCAGCCGTTCGCAGTGCAGAATTGCTGTGAGTGTCAAGCGTTGTGCGTGCGTGCGTGCATCTAAGTGGGATCTGAGCGGACCTGCGTCTTGAAGGTCTTGCGTTGCATGTCATATAAAAGTGCCTCGCGATTGCAGGGCTAGGGGTTGCGTGTGCAAGTACAGGGAAGATCTCATTTCTGCGCCCGCCCTGTCCGTCTTATAGGGCACTGTTCTGTGCCCCAAGTGGCTTTGTGTCCTGGGAGAGGGAGAAGCGATTGGGCTGCGGCCCTTCTTTGTGTGCAAGCTCATTTAAGAGGCGTGCAATATGCGTATTTGCTATCTCAAACAGCCCCGCCGCGAAGCATCAGCGTCCACGACCCCAGATCCCCAATGCTGATTTTCATTGACGGTACGTTCAAACCCGATGACCCGAACGTGCAATGGGCGCAGGAGCTGTGGTCATCGATGCCTTCCAGCAGAAGAAGCTCGTGGCTGAGATCTCAGTCCCTGAGGCACTCGTGAATCCCTGGCAACAGAAAGGCCGCAAGCAAATCATTATGTACATAGAGCTCTGGCCCGCCTTGGTCGTGCTGCTGAAGTTGGGTGCCTCCTTAAGGAACAGGCGTGTCTTGGTCTTTATCGACAACAACGGTGCAAGAGATGCCCTCATCAAGGAGACGTCTCCAATTGAGGATATATTCTCCTTGATGGCCATGGGGTCAGTGATCCGAGTGCCGTCACCAAGCAATCCTGGGGATGGTCTATCAAGAGGCAAGGTAGCTGAGATGGCAGAGCTATTAGGTTGCGCGCCAGCTGGCTTATGGGAATGCGAAGATGCAATAATCGCATGGCTTGTGTCACGTGCGTCATTCGTTGACTTCATGGTCAGGCAAGTAGAAGAATTCAGCTTGAGTGGGCGCAATATAGCGAAAAGAGGGGAGTGTGCTTAGTGCGTATTTGGCTGCTTGGCGTGCGCGTTTGCCAGTGGCCTTTCATGCTATTAGCGGCTAGCTAGCTAAGCTGCCAAGCTTCTGCTACCACACCATCGTGTGTGTACGCTCTAGGTTTGTGCCCATGGGGCGCTGCCTGCTTCAACTTCATACCTTTGGGCAAGGAGTCCTCGTCGAATGCGCGGGAGAAAATGAAGGAGGGTTGTGCGCAATGTTAGCAAGTTATTGTGTGCGGGGAGCTAGAGTTGAGTGCCAAATAATAGTGCGACACGCTCGCAATAGGCCTTGCGTGCGGACCCCCGCGTGAGATCAATAAGAAAGAAATCTTCATCCCACTAGATGATTCATCTATCTTATCTTGGATTTTTAGGGTTGGGAGGAAGCCGCTTGAGGATTAGCTATGCTTGTCTCGGTAGGAGTGGGAGCGAATTCTAGCCAAACCACGGAATTCTTGCAAATTATGCGATATACCGTCCAGAGTGTTGCTTGAATCCTGGCAGTATTGGAAGTTTGCGTGCGTGAGATGATCTATGGGATGGGTGGTGTCGTGTGGCCCAAGCTGAAGCTGGTGCGTTCAGCGTGCGAACAAGACTGGTGTTACTTCCGTATGATGCGCTAGAGCTTCCGTGGGTTGTAAAAGCTTCTGTATGTTATATATCATACACAGGGCAAAGAATTTCATAGTGAGCTGCTTTATCGTAGCTTTGACGACTTTCTTTGAATGCTCGGAGAAGATAATATTTTATTGCAAAAAGGAAAAACTGATGGACAATTTTAGTGCTTTGATTTGAAGCCTTTATAAATTTATTTCAGAATTTTCATATATGCTTTGCTTCAGATTGATAATTGAGTGAGCTCCCGCGCCAGTGCCTCGCAGAAAGCAGCTTGAGGAGGGGAATAGCTGAACTTGGGGCGCTGACCCCAAACAAATTCCGAACTGCCTTTGTAGTTTTTGACCCACCCTTGCCCGCCCTTTGAACAGCTTTCTGCTCGGTTGTACGTGCGTATACAAGGACGTTTAAAGAAGGTCAGTCGAGTTGGGCCATCTTAGATTTCGTAGTTTCAAGTTCAATTTCGTTACTTCCTTCGAGTGACTATCTCCTTCATACTCACTTGCCAGGCATGCGTTCATGCAGGTCTGAGAAGACTTTGCGTTGCTGAAGAGTATGGACAGCTCAATATGCAGACAGCAGTTTTCTGCTCTTTCTTTCGTCTGACAGGCCTTATTACTAAGGTCTATCTGAGTAGTTGGGCTGGGAGGGGATGAGCATTCGCCGTCCCGTTGCTGATAGGTTGTGCCTTCTTGTCTGGGCACGTTGACAACGTCAATGAAAAAGATATGAGCTGATCATGGTTCAGATAGAACGATTCAGAGAGAGATGATTCGCCCCATTGTAGGAAAAAATCCGGGTGGATTGGAATGAAGATTGTCTACAATATTTGACTTTTTGACGATCTTAATGATTTAGTTTAAAGGGCTCAAGCACGCTCCTTGAGCAATAAAGAATTCTTATATCCGCCCTCCCTCCCCTAAATACATGGCGATGCAAGATCTGGGTAGGGTATGGAGATGTCTGCAGGGGGAGTGTGCTTAGTGCGTCTTTGGCTGCTTGGCGTGCGCGTCTGCCAGTGGCCTTTCATGCTGTTAGTGGCTAGCTAGCTAAGCTGCCAGGCTTCTGCTACCGCACCGTCGCGTATGTGCGCTCTAGGTTTGTGCCCATGGGGCGCTGCCTGCTTCAATTTGACCTCTTTGGCCAAGGAGCCCTCGTCGAATACGCGTGAGAAAACGAAGGAGGGTTGTGCGCAGTGCTAGCAAGTTGTTGTGTGTGCTGAGCTAGAGTTGAATGCCAAATAATAGTGCGACACGCTCGCAATAGGTCTTGCGTGCGGATCCCTGCGTGAGACCAATAAGATATGCGGCTCTCCAGAGCATCATTCCCAGCAGTGCGACGCCAAGCAGGAGAGCAAGCCGGATTTGAAATGGAAGCCACGCTTTCAGTGATTAGAGGAAAGTCCGCTTGTTGCTTCCACTTGCAGCGGATGCCAGTGCAGCGACTGTTGTTGATGCAGATAATTGTTCAAGTGAGGGGTGCGTGAGTTCCACGACAGAGAATTGCATCAGCGCGTGCGAGTGCGGAGCCCCAATGGTTCCTCTTGCCGGTTGCGACTTTCGACTACGCGATGGGGGAGGAGTTCATTCCGATGCAGACTGGTTCGAACCTCGTTGCGCAGATGTGCTTGGTAGCCGGAGAGCCTTCGTCGACTTTGATTGGAGCGTATGGAGCGTTGGGGCCTTATTCCGCGACTGTTACAGGCTGGGCGCAATCCTTTCGATGAGCCTTGGTTGGATGACGGCGAGATTCAGCGGATCCGCGAGGATCTGCTTTCTTTCCTGAATGATCATGATTTTCATTCGTCTTTGACTACGGCGCCTGGGCAGCCGCTGACGTTGGACTTGCGGCGCGATCTATTTGCCCTGACTGGCGATATTGATCCTGGCCTCATCCCTCTACTCCGTGATGGCGTTCCCATTGGCATCAAAGAGATTATTCCTGCCTCTGAAATGACATTGAGGACCCTCTTGCCATTATTGATCTATAATTCTCTTTGGGGCTCAGCCTTGGATGATCCAGCCGCCTTGATGGACTTAATTCAGAAAGATGTCGACAGCGGCTTTGCAGAATGGATTGCTGGAGGACGCGAGGAGGTTCTGTCACGCTTTGGGGCAGATTGCGCGGCAGGTCGTCTTGACCTAGTCAAGAAGGAGGGAGCAATTTCACGCCTGGTGGGAGACAACACAATCTCCAATGCAAACCGTCTCTATAGGATTGCAGAAAAGATTGAGCTCCCAGACTTGATAGATGTGATTGACTTCATGTCGCGCCACTCATATGAGCGTTGGGTTGCCTTTTCGCTGGATGTAAAAAAGGCTCACAAGTGGGTCAAAATGGCACCGTCGGAACAGGGCTTCTCCGTGTCTAAAGCGGTCGACCCTGGTGGCGTCACGCGTTGGCTCGTTTACCTCGCCTGCCATTTTGGAGGAACGTGGAGTGCTTATTGGTGGTCTCGCGTTGCTGCAGGCTTTGTGCGCTCGGGCCATGTGCTGCTGCATAGTTCCCATTTTCTCTCCATGCACGTAGATGACGGGCTGTCCTTGTTTCCGGCAGCCTCGGCGCCACTGATGGCTTGTATAGAAGTATTGCTTGCGTATTCGCTGGGGATCCCGCTGTCATAGAGGAAGCTTGGACACCAGGCTGAAATGGATTGGATGGTTGCTGCAGCTTGACGGCTGTCCCTGTGCGATACTCCCGGAGGATAAGGTCTTGCGTTTGGATGCAACTTTGCGGACCATCATTCAACGTAAATAGATACGAAGGCGTGATCTGGAGGCACTGCTTGGATTGCTGGCTTGGTATTTCTGTGGCGTTCGTTGGTTGAAGTCCTGGATGGCAGTGTGGTCTCATATGTTGCTGAAGCCGGCGTTGCACTTCTACAATCTGGATAGTGAGCAGCTGCGCGAAGTCTAGCTATCGCTGGATATGAACTTGCGTGTAAAAGCGCCAGGTTGTCAGATGCGCAGGCTGGGTGGCGCTTGGCGGAATGCCGTGGCAAAGTTGCTTCTTACGTGTCAGATCTTAGTGCGTGCCGCGCCAAGCACGGCCGGGTTTAGACCAAGTTCCTTGATAGTTGTTCTTCGTAAGTGCGTCCGTCCAAAGACGAGACCAGTGTGGCTATTTTCTTTCAGAAGTTGGTCCTCGGCCGAGCCCCCGTTCATTTGGCGGAGATTCCGGCCACGCAGTGCACAACAGCAGCGGATGCGTTTGCGAATGAGCAGCGTGCAGGAATTGGAGGCTGGTGGCTTCCTTACGGGTCGTCACTTTCGACTTCATCAATCTTCTGGTTCTCCATCCCCCCGACGGCTGCTTCCCTGCCAAAGTGATTCTTGGGCGGCCATGATGGGTTGCCTGAAGTGATCAGCGCACTAGAAGCACTGGTGCTATTGGCGCTGCAGCGTCAGGAAGCAGGGCCAGCACTCCGGCCTACAAATATAGACGTACCAACGACAGCGTTATGATAACCTAAGCGTCGTTGGTGCGTGCGAAAAGGGGTTATATATGAAGCAGCCGATGGTTTCGGTTCTTCAAGCTACAGCTCTGTTTTATATGAGGGAGTGGAGTGCCTCAATCTGCGAGTGAGCCACTGGCTGGTGTGCGAAATGGGCGGGCGGACGTTTTTTTTCGCGAGGCCGGGACCATGACCCTGCTTTCTGGAAGCAATTAGACCCGTCCAAGCGGCGCTCGCTGGACTGGCGGAAACTGCTGGAATCAGGTCGCCCAGAGGCGCTAGGACAATGCTGAGGTTGGAGGCCGGCCACCAAGCTGGTCTTGCTGGCGGGCAGAGTCTCATGGCGTGTGCTAGAGCTGCTAGAGGTCTTCACTGACTGCTGCGTGATTATATGCATATGGCTTTGCTTTGGGGTTTTGTGACTCGGGGAGGCGCCTGAGCTAGCCTCTCCCTTGTTCAATTGTGTAATCAAAACACCTGCAAAGGCTTCTGAGGGCTGTATAGTTTCCCTTGGGATTTGAAGGGCTAGGCCAAGGTTCACGCGTAAGCCTCACATATCCCCCTATCCATTATTCCTTTATGAACTTGCCTCGTCAGATCCTGCTGTTGCAGCTATATATTTCCCAGGGGATCAGTGAGGCAGACGATGAGTGCATTTTGTCCTCCCGCCCGCCCTTCTTCGAGTTCCTCGTCATGATAGACCAGCTCGTGGGAATTTGACTTCGATATCTGTAGGATGATAGATTTGCTTCGATGCCTGAATATCGGTGTGGGGCGGCGCCCAATGACCCAGGAGGTTTTATAAATTGGAGCAACGCCTGACATGACCTCTCCTTCGTTCAGTTGCGCAGGGATTTCTGAGGATTAACGAATCTCCCGAAATAACAGCTTCAATCTTTCTTATTTCACCGAATCAAGCAAAATCAGACCGCGGCGAAATGAATCCATTCCATAAATATCTGCCGGATGACCCGCATTTTATTCCTCAAAACGGCATCTTACGAAAGCTCAAAAAAAGATCGTCCGCCAATAAGACGCGCAAAGATCAATGAACAACTCCATCATGATGCGGCAACCCAATTGAATCCAGAGAAACTACCAGATTCAGATTTGCCTTCGAAGCCGCTCGCATCATCTGCTCTACCTCTTCAACGGAGCCCTGAAGAGCAGGAGAAACCAACCGACTCTGAGAAGACCAACGAGAAATATCACGAACGTTATGACCCATATTCTTCAAACTCGTCCGCCGCAACTGCTCATCCCGCTCGTTCATGACCTCCCGCATCACCCGATTTTCAAGATTCCGCAAAGCTTTCCAAAACCAACCATACCCCATGACTACGGCTCCGCACAATGCATAGCTAATTGAACGAATTTCTCCAAAATGAAATCGTCTCAACGCACACGAAAGATCTATCCCACGAATATCCGATCGATATATAAACTACCCCAAATAAAAAAGAAGAAATCTTGCTATTCAAGATTTCCAAGAAATCTTATCATCTTCATATTCGTTTGAGGGAAAAAGAATCACAAAAAGATTCGGCGTCCGCATTCCAAGCGTGAACTCCCGCCACCACCCGCCACGAATTAGACGAGAAGGAAGACGCCGAAAGAAGGAAAAACAACAAGACAACAACGGACCCTCAAACGAAATGAAGAAATAATGAGAAAATGGGATACTCTATCTCTAATCATCTATTCGCTTCAGATCCCATCTCCTCAGATTCAGAGTCATCATATCCTGCGCATGGGATCCTGATATCAATTTCTATGATCATCCTCCCTCAATATATAAATATGGAAATATTATCCCTATCCAATAAGTTTCGGATCCAATGATCATCTCCAGATAAATACGCAGCTGTCAAATAAGAAGAACGGCGCATATCCTGCTCTCCATATATATAACGAAGCTATAAATCTCCAAATGGCCGGATGCTGTCCTTATACGGCGCATGCTCCCCAGGCGCCGTCTTAACCTGCACCTTGTGCTCGGACGACGAAAAATGACAACGTTTCGTACGAGCCGGCCGCAAAAACTCCAAGATATCATCACGCACTACGGCTTGCGCGCATTCCAATATGCAGCCATCAGAATCCGCGCCCCGATCTAACTAGATCCGAATTCATCGTTGACACGAATCCATCGCCGCACCCATAAAGAACTCGCGACGACGCCGCTTCGGAGATAACTACCATATCGCCTCTTTTGCTGGAATCTCTCAACGTACATATACTCATCCGCCAAAGCCAGATTGCCAAATGCAGCCGACTCATGACTCGAAGATAAGCGAGTAATCACGGAGTCGCCAAGGCAATATCGGGCAATTCCAATAGAATCCAATCTGAATGATATGCAGTCCCTCGCTTCAAATCAGCGCCTCAGAAACCCCAAAATTGCTCCCGATACAAATACTTTGCAGAATAGGCGTACAGAAACAAATAGTGATCACGATCTTCTCCAGAGAATGCGGATACGTATTCATTCATTTTATTCTCCTTGGCAAGATGATAAAATACATTCGTTCTACGAATATCGCATAAACTCGACGCATTATCCGCCATCTATCACCATTGTCGAGCACGACACATTCCCCGAATGAACATAAGAGGTGATTCCGTCAATACCGCTCGAGCCAAAAAGCCGACGAGCCGCGATGAATCCAAATAGGAAAGATAAAGATAATATATTTATCCCGCAGAGATATATCGAGGGCCGCCGAGGAGAATACGAACCCAAGCAGATGAAATAGATCTTATCTCAGATCTGATGCAACAGATTTGCTCAATTTCCCAAGAGCCTAATATCGTCATAGACTCGTTTTCGTCAGCTTTCGAGAGAATCCAATATCAATTAAACGAAAATAACTAAAATCACGACCCGGATCTCATCTATCATCGCCAATATCTCATCAAATATCGCTCAGATCTTCTGAGATACTGATTCACAGAACATACACACTGCAGAGGCATACAATATATATGCTCTACTCAATGCGTCTCTTCCAAGGCCTCCAAGCAGATATAATAGACCTTACCCCAGATATCATACAAAAGATCTGCTCAACTACCTTATAATATTACAATAATGAAACGAAAATCTAAAAAGCTCGTGACCCGGATCTCATCTATCGCCGCCCGCATCTCCTCAAGCACCGCTCAGATCTTCTCAAGCACCGAGCAAACGTCCAAGATATTCTGAAAGTTCCCCATAGGAGCGCGATATACGTAAAAATTTTTCAGAAGCTTCCGCACGGGAGCGCGACTGTCGTAAAATTTCAAAACGTTCCGCGGGAACGCGATTTTTTATTCAAAATTTTCAGAACGCTTCGCACGGGAGCGCGATTTTTTTAAAATTATCAGGACGATCCGTACGGGAGCGCGATTTTCTCAAAATATTCAAGACGCTCCGCACGAGAGCGCGATTTTGATCAAAAGAGAACGATCTTGAATCGACTAATGTGGTATAGAATTGGCATAGAAATCGTGTTTTAAACGATTTAAATTCGAATATCGAATCCGGTTTTCATAAAAAAAAATCAAATTTCTCCTCAACGGAACGCGATTTTTCTCAATATTTTTCAGGACGCTCCGCACGGGAGCGCGGTCTTCATCAGAATTTTCAAGACGCTCCGCATAGGAGCGCGATTTTTCTCAAAATTATCAAGACGTTCCGTATGGGAGCGCGATTTTTCTCAAATTTTCAAGACGATCCGCATGAGAGCGCGATTTTGATCAAAAGAGAACAATCTTGAGTCGATCAATTTGATATAGAATTTGGATAGAAATCGTTCCTTAAACGATCCAAATTCGAATGACGAATCCGACGAATCCTATATCAATCCTATTTCAAAATATCTTCTCAAGAATATCACCTATGATAAGATAATTCGGCGAAATTTCGAGGACGTTTCGAGCGGGAATGTAATTTTTAAAATCATTTTATAAAAAATCTCAAGACGCTCCGTCTAGGAGCATAATTTTGGTCAGAAGAGAACGACATATTTCGAGGACGTCTCGAGCGAGAGCGCGATTTTTGAAGATCGATATATTTAATTTTCAAGATATTCCGCACGAGAGCACGATTTTGATCAAAAGAGAACGATCTTGAACGAACCAATTTGATATAGCATTAATAGAGAAATCTTTCCTTAAATGATCAAAAATTCGAATAATGAAATCAACGAATCCTATATCAATCTTATATCAAAACTACCTCCCAAGAACTTCCCTCTTGAGAAAATAAATAGACGATATTTCGAGGACGTTTCGAATAAGAACGCGATTTTTGAAGATAATCATCAAAAATTTGAAGATATTCCGCGCGGGAGCGCAATTTTGATCGATCTGAACGAAAATAAAATCTATTCAAAATCATCAAAATTTTGAGATTATCTCGTATGAGAGAACGATTTTTGAAGATAGCTTCAAGAAAATATGAATAAAAATTCAATAAAAATCGATTATCCAACGAATTTTCTAAATTCTTGATTTTTAATAACGTCAGAAAAAATAAAAAAGGACGCGATATTTTGAGGATATCTCGAACGAGAACGCGTGATATAATTGATTATCCAGAGGTCGTCCAATTCATTTCGAATTCCCCCTAGCAAAACTAAGATCAAAATAATCCAATCTCCCAGATATAATATCGTAATATTCGTCGAAATGAGAACGTCTCGAGCGAGAACGCGATTTATAAATTCGTATCAATGCGTCCAAAATATTTGCGCGATAGAAGAGCGCATTACGGCTGCCGGGCAAGACATTTAATAATTAAAATCTTATAATATATATAGAGAATAAATATATATTCTCGTTGCTCGTCATATCTTCAGATATATCTAATAATAATATAATTAGAAAAAAATATCTTCTGCTTTACGGAAGGCATATATCTAATTTCTGAAATTATGTTCACTTTAGAATTTAATTGATTTATTCTAAAATATTATGAAATCTTTCTTATAGATATCTTCTGATTCTCTCAAAGAAATACCATCAGAATAGAAGAAAGAAATTCTAAGATATTAATCTCAATCTAATAATCATTCGAGCACGATTAGTCCCTTGGCCATGACCAGTCGTTGCCCCGAGCTTACACGTACTCAACAAAAATAATTCAAATAATATTTTGAAATAACGAATCTTCATTTATAAAGAAATTTTTATCGAAAGCCAGAAATATATTTATTTGAAATCGTATAGAATTTCTAGACCTAATAATTTCTACGAATCTATTTTATTTATTTTTTCTTTTTACGGAGGCAATGAGATGAAATTAATCATTTTCAAATATTTTTCTTAAGACTCAATGAGATTGAGATTTCCTTCTATATATTTTATTCTGAAAATATCCAAAGCTTTAAATTCTTCCAGATATTTTAAAAGAGAATTATTAATCAAATCTATTATATTCGAATTTTAATTTCAATAATAAATTCATATCTATTAATAAAAACTCATTAAATTAATCGGATTATGAAAAAAGAATATATCAGAAATATATTTATCGAATGACGAAAATTCATTTATACGATCATATAAAATATTAGATAACAGAATTTCTACGATTCTTTTCTCTTTTTTTCCGTCTTTCAGAAATTCCTCTTATATTTTGCCTTCTTCAATAAATTTTCAATAATAAGAGTATCCTTTTTCCTACTCCTCAAATTTCATAGAGAGACCATCGAAATAAGAAAAGGAAAAATATTATTAGTGAATTTCTAGTATTTTAAGAATTGACATATCTTAATGATACGAATCTAATCTACCTTCTAGATTATTATATTCTTGAGAATCAATCAAGAAATTTTCTTATAATGAATCTTGAAATTCTTTCTTAAAATATTTCAAAATATTTCATACCTAAGAGAAAATCTTTAGAAAATATAAGAAATATAATATTCTAAGAAATATATTACCAAATAAAATCTCAAAAATATATAACTTAATTCATAAAAAATAAAAAATGAAAATATACGAATTCATAAAGAATTAAAGAGAATATATTAATTCTAAATATCTCAAAATGAAAATTTTCATAGAATAATCGCATTATTTTGAAGACAATCACCAATCAAATAAAAGAAGAAATTTCTTCTTAAATAATCGTTCGAAAGATTGTATCCTAATTTAGAAAGAGAATCTTATCGAATAATAAAAATTTATCTAAATATCGCGAATTATAATATATTTCTAGTCAATATGCTTCTTTAAAATATCCTACTAAAGAACTAATGACCTCGAGAATTTTCTTTTAAATTTAAAAATTCCTGATAATAAATTATAGAGATCAATCATATCATTTTGAAGAATATAATAATCAGAATTCCGATCAATTATCCGAAACGAGGCGCAAGAAGAAATAACTTTTTTGTAGGAATTAATAATATCTATCTAGAAAAAATATTTCATCGAATAATAAAAATGTATTTCTATTCAATCTATATAGAATATTTTTTCAATTCAATGAAACATTCGCGAATATCTTGTTCAATTTAAGATATTCTTCTTGAGAATCAACGATATCAGATTTTTCGTTTTTCTTTATTTCTTCGAAAAAATATCTTATATTTTTCGTATCATTCTTAATAAATATTTCAATCTCATCAATATTAAAAAAATATTCTGATCTAGAAAATCATTTCCTATCCGGGTCTATAGACACGTCCACCGAGCGCCGCTGCGCAGACAGCCATAGAGAGAGAAATTTCGAAATCTCGGGAGGTTTGTGGTCGCGCGGCCCCCACTCCCCCGAGCCGCCGCGCAGAGAGCCCAAGAGAGATAAATGAGACAGAAAGACCGGGCCGGATGCGCATAAATCTCCGTAGACAAACACGACCCCACCTATAGATTCTGAAAGATTTTGCTTCTCCGTCCCAGGTCGATGCGTTCCACCGAGCAGCCGCGCAGACAGCCAAAGAGAGAAAATCACGCGGAAGACCGCTCCGGAGGCAAGCTGAAAAATTTTGGATCTCCGCCCCGGGTCTACACGTTCCACCGAGTCGCCGTGCAGACAACCAAAGAGAGAGAAATGGTTCGAAATCCCGGGAGATGTGTGGTCGCGCGGCCCCCGCATCTGGCCCGGTCTTTCCGCCTCAATTTATCGCTCTTGGGCTATCAGCGCGGCGGTTCGAGGGAGCGCACACATCCCTGTGGACAGACACGACCAACCTATAAATTCTGAAAGATTTTGGTAAGCAAAAGTCGTCTTTGCACGCTCATGGCGACGATCTTGGACGCTGCGGCACGCTTTGCTGCCAGGTGCTCGCAAATCCGCCTCAGTGATGCAAGTGCAAGAGAGTTGACCCTCCTCGGTTTCAAGAGGGTCGCCCAATTCGCTTATGCGCGAGGCCAGCCAGGCCAACAACTGCCTGCAGATGAGTGGCGTGCCTGGGTGGGTTGAACTTTGGCTCTGCCAGCTCAGGAGACATCGCCACACTTCGAAGACTCCTTTTCGAATGTCAAATCCTCATGCTAGCTGCCTTGAGGGACCAGATTTCAAACCCGTCGGCCAGCGCTGCAAGGCCGATCCCGGATCATCTCTCAGGACCAGGCTCCCGGGCATCATCATCGAAGGTGAAGGAGAGCCTTCATTGGCATGTCAGATGGTCGCCCTCAATGAGCTACGCTATATCCCCCGGCCAAATGCACCAGCTGACTGTCAGAGATTGCGTCGGCGAAGCCGGTTCAAAAAGTTGTCGAACTGGAACAGAAGGCTTTGGTCCTCAAAGACTACTTAGAGCCAACCGAGGTGAGTGTTAACACCCCTTTGCAACTGGCCGCTGCATTTGAGAGACGTGACTCTTCGCCGATGCGTGTCATTTCGTGGCGCGTGAAAGATACATCAACACTTTTTTCTCAGCAGAGATCCCCGTGTTGGTCCACCCCCTTTGCAGCTTGGCACAAATCGTCGGCATCTAGAAAATTGCCAGATAGGCGCCCCTTGCTAACGTGGAACTGATTGCTTTCGGGATAATCTGGGTCTAGAATACCATCGTACTGGAATTCGGGGGCCATGTTCCTCGAATTCAGGGGTTGCAAGTGCAATTTTCTTGGTCATGATTCGATAGTTGTCTGTCTGCATCTTCCCGGTTTTCGCTGCAGGCTTGCCGGTTTGAAAAGCTTCGTGGGTAGAAATTCCTTTGCTTGCTGGAGCACATGAGCGGCCGCGGCAGGAAGAACTGCGCACGGCGTGGGCTGCATCGATGAGTGCAACGTTTTGGGGCCGCTGCGTTCTTGCAAGGAGGATGCCGTTGCGTGTGCGTGTGCGTGTGCGTGCGCGTGCGCGTGCGCGTGTGCGTCTGCGTCTGCGTCTGCGTCTGCGTCTGTCTGTCTGTCTGTCTGTCTGTCCGTCTGTGCAAGCTTGCGGGTGTGCGTGTGTCTGACCACATTCTGGACGTGCGCGATGGACACGTTGATGGCGAAGACCATCTGGACCTCACATAACTTAGATCGACGCCCGTCACTATGCAGCGTACAGGAACTGAGTTCTGAACGGAGCACGCGGATCCTGCCACCGAGGCAAGTTCAGCGCGCAAACAACTCCATTCTTGGCCAGGCACGCAACAGTGCACACGGGTCAGCCCTGCCAGACGATGCATTTTTTTTGCATCGCAGAAGAAAGAATCTCCACGCAAATACTAATTCGGCGCAGACACGGCATTCCACGCAATTTCCGATGCCAGATGTTCGGAATTTTCTCGGCATCAAGGCAACGCAGCTTTCCATACCGGGTCGCCTGCGTCCGTCACTGCAGCAACGATGCCATCGGCGATCGCTGCACCAGTGGCAAACTCAGGCAAGCTAAATCCAAAATCAACCTACCAGAAATCCCGCGGTTGATTCTACTTCAGTCCCTCAGCAACAGACGAAGGACATCCGTCTGACCGGTTACAGTCTGCACGGAACTACAGACACCAAGTCGCTGCCCTTTCCATCTCGGATCGGGCATAGCAGAGAAAGAAAGCGATACCACCCTGCACCGCTTCGCCCGAGCTAGCGTTCTACTCAGTCAGGCACCTGGAGAGCATGACAGGAAAATTGCACGTCTTTCCATCACGGATCGAACGTGCAAAATCCACAGGACCCATGCGAGCACATATGACTTACAGAGATCCATAAACTGCGTATCCAGTTCCCTGAGAGAGCTTGCTACGCAGCGCGGAAGCTCACAGTCAAGGAACGTGGACGCTGCCAGCCGAGCATTGTCTTCGAGTCGACAGGCATGGGTTCCACTGTCTTCGTGCTGCCCACCCCCAGCCGAAGATGGGACCGTCACCCAGATGAAACCAATCGTACCTGCCACCCGATGTGATTCGAGTCTGGTCCCGAAAGACGTCAAACTCCGCCAAAGCAAACTGAAAACAGCCGCTGAACCGAACCACGCCAATGACGCGAGCCTTTTCAGGCGGTGCGCCGACGTCGATGCCTCAGTCAGCATCCTGCGTGGAACCCCGGCCAGGAGTCTCGATGAGAAATGAATCTTGTCCCGCAATGAAACTGGGTACCTGCCAAGCGGATATTTGCGGACCTCGACGGCTTTCACCCCGGCCAGGATGAGCCGACGCCAAGGATACTGAACGCTGACGCCGCAAAGTTCTAGAGACATCCCACACCCACACACACATGCGCAATCCTCCCTCTGGACTGATTGGGAATTCTCAATATTCAGTC